ATATCCAATATCGCCTATTCTTGTACTTAATTGAGTTTTCGAAGATATTCCCAACTGTCCAATTGCGTTTCGCTTGATAATGATGAGTGATAAAAAAAGTCTATTTTGGTTAGGCTTTCCGGTCTATGCTTGTCGAGTTAGAAGTGTTTTACTCGATTTTCGGCTTACGAACATAAAATCGCTAAGAGCTTGAACGTCAAATTTTAAGCCGAAATTTTGCCAATAGATAGGCCTTATAGTCACTAAAAATATCCGAAAACTTCAGACAGAGTGAATGGTCTCCTTGCTAAGATATTTACATTTTCAAGCAACGCCTGTTTGGAACGTGTTTTCAAAAAAAACCGAGTGTTTCTATGACAATCACAGATCTCAATACAGATACATTCGCTCTAGCTTAAACTGTAGAGTATTTCTATTGATGATAAAGCCTATCTATGAACAAAATTTCAGCTCGAAATTCGAACATTTGAATTCTCAGCGATCCTATGCTGGTAGGACAAAAATGAACTAAAACGCCCATAACTCGAAAAGTGAAGACCGGAAACCAAACTTTTTCGCTATTCATCATGACTGATCGAATGAGAATAATTTCAAGCGAAAAGCGATTTGACAGTTGGAAATGTTCCTTCGTCATCCCTCTGAACAAAGTCTGTAGAAGGAACTCAACTGTTGTTAGAGAAGCTGAGACCTTATTTCTTCGCATCAGTACTTTAAACTTGATTTTGATTCATAGTAGTGCATAATCTCCTACTAAACCTATAGAAATGATCATTCTTCATTATCATCATATCTAGAAATGAATTCTATGATAAATAAAAACAATAAGAATCATTTTTATTTTTAAATGATTTTGTTTTAGTTTACGATTAGAATGGAATCAACTGGGTTCTATGAATTCTCCAGCATTTAGTATTTTTTGTGATGCACTTGCTGATAATAAAACATTAATTGATCTTGATTTACGTAATAATGATATAAATCATGTTGGTGGTACAGAAGTAGCATCAGCTTTAAAACGAAATACAACATTACGTTCATTAGGTATATATTTGAAATAATTAATCTACGAAAAAAAAATTTTTTTTTTTTGTTTAATAAACATGAATAGATCTTCGTTGGAATAATGTTGGACTTATTGGTGGTCGAGCTCTATTAGTTTCATGTCAATCAAATTCAACTTTAAATGAATTACAATTAATTGGTAATAATATTCCTGATGATATTATGCAGAGTATTAGTATGTTTGTTTTCTTTTTCCTCAATCATTCTAAGAATTTCTATTTTTCGATATTTTAGCTAATGTATTATCAAAAAATACTGAACAACGTCAAATGCATTTTGATCATTCACAAAATATGGCTATACTTTCAAGACAATTACAAAATGTTCATGAAGAAAAAGATCATCAAATAACAACAACATTAACACGTATGTCACTTCAAGAACAAACTATGCTTAAAGCAAATAGGTAAATAATATATATTTTAAATCTAATC